ACACACTGATTAAGTGTAATTTCTCGAAATGGCCGCTTGGAGAGGGGTATATACAGTGCGTGACCTATCTTATGAAATGTTGGCTGAAATTCTGAAATGTGTTTTGGATTAGGAAGGATTACTTGGTCGCGGTTGTGATACTGATTATCATAAGGTATACTCTTATTACATTTTGGACTCGGCAGGATATCGGCTTTTAAATGCACTTCTTTTCAATCTCCTATAGAAAGCGTGCTCGGTAAAAAAATGACTACTTAAGTAGCATGCATTTTTCTCATTGATTTTCGATGGTCTTGGAAATTCAAATATATTTTATAGAAACCGCAAACAAAAATATGCTTTCTTTTAGTCAATCAATAGAGAATCACGTCTTCTTTATATTTTATACTCGAAAAGGAGCATAATCAGGTTTTAAAAAGTTTTCTAATTGCCGAATAATTTGGAGCCTGATCATTCGTTGCATTAGCTCTTAGTGATTACACTCTACAAGGCGTATGCGTTCCGCGTAAAGAAAATCCCATATTTTTTCTATGTCATTAAAGATATATCATACAGGGTCCATAAAATTTTGCAATGGATGCGGACCACGTTGTACATTTCATGAGGAGCAGTGGTAAACGGCCAGGTACGATGCTATGTGAATGAACATTTCGCGGTCTTAAAAAGTCTCATAATTAGAAACTTTTTAAAACCTAAATATACTCCTTCCTTAAGTATAAAATATAAAGAAGAAGTGATTCTCTATTGACTGACTAAAAGAAAACACATTTTTGTTTGTGGTTACTATAAAATATATTTGAATTTCCAAGACCATCGAAAATCAATTGGAAAAACGCATGCTACTTAAGTAGTCATTTTTTACCGAGCACGCTTTCTACAGGAGATTGAAAAGAAGTGCATTTAAAAGCCGACATCCTGCCGAGCCCAAATGTTATAAGAGTATGCGCAAGATAGTCAGTATTACAACCGCGACCAAGTAATCCTTCCTAATCGAAAACGCATTTCAGAATTTCAGCCAACATTTCATGAGATAGGTCACGCACTGTAGGTCTGGTCATTGGTGAGGCTTTGAATTGCCCTCTTATCAGCAGGAAACAAAACGTGCAACAGCATCAGAATCCATCATTCGCGTTGCACCCAG